TGACATGTGCACATATATGAGATGAGGCAGGGTGATAAGGGTAATAATATATCATTCTACAAATCCACGCGTTATTTATTTTTATGTTTTAACGATTTATTTAATGATTATTATGAAGTAAAATATTTGATCGAATCCGGTTCACGTTTATTGATGGTTATAAATCAAAAATTAAATTATGTATTTCTGTTTTCATAGAATGTAATGAGGGTTATTATCATTAACATCTTACTCAAAGTAAACTATTTTGTTTATTTGATAGACGTTGGTTGTAAGGAAAAACATTTTAGTCATGTCTTAAAGTGTGAAGYGAGTTGTTTTGTCATCAGCSCCGAAAACAAAATGGAAATTATGTAGCTTAGTCACATTATATTTAAAAAAATACTCACGCRTGATGTCCCGGGTAATAATACTGGTGCCAGGTGGGTTTCAGGATTTCAGCCAACACGAGGGCGTGCAATACCTGAACAGCCACCAAAATCCGCGGCAACATGACGTCTGTKTGTGGTTATGAATGACTTTGATTAGACACCGCAAGTCGCAGTACAAATTCGACAAACACACTAACAGCTAAACGATGATAATAGTTTTATATAATATTGTCGTCGTACGATTCTGCAGAAGTATGGAGTGAATTGGTCGCGAAATTATCAGCGCGTCGAGAGAAAATTTGATGGAGACCGTCACCGGGCCGAAATAAATATCATTATACGAAAAACGAATATTATACTATTATTTTTTTTTTWATTTTATTATTATAATATGTTTTAATTGTATACGACATTCRGTGGTAGGTAGGTACTATAGTGTCTTTGCGGTGCCAACGATAAGACAGACCACTACAGCCGACTGTGACGATAATAATAATACAAATGATAATAATAGTAATATTATTACTATTGCACGAGACGATCTCACCGGACGGACAGCGTTCACGATGTGCGGAAGATCTCCTGGGAGAATCGGTTTTTTATACGGAACGGAAAAATCGCCGCCCGGCTGACGTGT